TTAAAACGGAAATCCTCAACCCCGAAGATTTGAGTTCCTAGTAACGACGAAAAGCACTCGAGTCCCAGGGTTTCTTCATCTGTGGGGTCGATGCTCTGCGGGACCACAAGTACCTCCACCAGCTAGGCGCGAAGGGATATCTATCACAGAACCCAAACATTTCGGAGGTTCGGGTTCAGAGTTCAATTTGAGGGTGGGCCGCAGGAATATAGTATTACGTGCTGTATGATTCAGGATACTGGTTTGGGCATTTTGGGTGGGTAGAGTTCCAGCATTTGCCATGAAGTCTGTTCAGGACCCCAGCAGGCGGAAAGTGTCAAGGGCTCTGCTTTTTGGGCATGATGATCACGTACATGTATCAGAGCTGAGGCAGATTCAAAGTGAATCGCAAACCTAATCCCACCCCTTACGCCTTACACCGGGAAAGCACAACATTAAGCCCAAGAAATCCCTAAACCTCTGCCATCGGAGAACTTCAGGAGCTGAACTGTTGCTGTTGATAGGCTCAGCTTCTGACTCGGTTCCATCCATAGGAAACGGTTCGCTGATTGAATAGTCATATCACTAGATTTGTCGTCAGTATATTTTCTGCACATATTGCAATCTTGTTTCATGTCATTCATTTCTTCGTATACATCTTCATAATGTTCATATATTCATACGTAGACATGTGAATGTAGACCTTATTACATGTTCAAAAGATGGTAGAGTTCCGGGCTTGGCTCAATCTAGGGTTTACGGTGCGGGATTGTGAGCACCGCCCCTCGCCTCAATTTGCACTGGCATGAAGCCTCAAGCGGCAGCTGCAGCTAGACAAAAGGGTACAATTTTCTACGGACTTCACACAAATTTTTTTGGTCCGCGCATGTCTCAACATGAGCTTCAGCAGAGTAGTCACACCGGCGGCCGGCATGGTCTGCGGCCTTGGCCCCTATGTCAGTGCGGCAGCTGCTCGATTGCTTCAGAGAGGGAACATAGGGGCTTCGTGTTATCAGGAGGCCCAGTCAGGCAGGCACACCAGAATGCCCTTAGGTAGTTCGAGCAATCCTGTGAAAGTGAAGTTGGAATCCAGCTTTTTGCAGAGACCCCTAAACCCTAAACTAAACCCTACACCGTCAGAGACGGTCTTGGTCTTCGGTCGTCTTTGTGAGCAAGGCGCCCATCTGGAAGATATTTGAAGCCGAACCGTCCCTGCAAGCTGCGCAGGGTTTTCAGTTTCAGAGATCGAAACATCCAACTAGCACCAACGCAGGCGAGCATTTCAGACTCGAGGATTTCTTTTTCTGGGACAGTCTGCCGAGGGCTTGCGCCACAGCCTACCGCGACCACCTCGATGTGTGGCTGGACCTTTCCCACCAGAGACGAGGCCGCAAGGGCCCGGAAAACCACAGAGTTCAAAGTCCACCTACACGGACCCTATACCCTATGGCTAGGCCCTAGGCACCTTAACAAGGGAGCAAGGCGAAAGAGGAACTACATCCATCGGAGGGCAGTAGGGTTTACTAGAAATTTTAAGCCCTAAACCCCCGAACCCTAAACCAAACTGTAGGGGCCATAAGTAGAACCGGGTTTGCGAGCCTTATGCTGTGCACCCAGAGATCGAAATATCCCTAAATTCCACTCTTCAACATTATCAAATCCTAAACCCCGCAACTCGAACACCCAAATCCTAAACCCTTAGACCTCATGTGTAAGCCCGAAATTTCCAGCTGAGGACCTCTGAGTTCACTGATATTGGACAGCAACCACATTGGCACCAGCAGGCAGCAGCTTCATCGAGGTTTTCAAGGCGATAAGCGCGGCAAAGCGTCAGAATGGAGGAGGGCTTAAGGCACACTGGAACGGGTAGTGTTGTACATTTTGTAAACTGACGTGGCTGCAACGTCGTACTTATGTTATTTGTTCCTTTTCGGCTTGGTGTTTTGTAGGCCTAGGCCTCTCAATTCACAGCATGGCCGTCATTTTGCGCTTTTAGGACTTAGTGCTTCCAGGTTCAGAGCAGGGGTCTGAGTTTCAAGCTCCTGTTGTAGACTGCCCTAAATCTAGGACACTTCGCCAATGTGCGTATGCGGTACTCGAATCCTCGCCTGGCTTGTCCTAGTCGTGAGTGCTGAAATCTAGGACACTTTCAGGTGAGTAGTTACTGTACCGTATAGGAGCCTTATAGAAGGTCGATATACTTTATAGAAGCCTTATAGAAGCTCTACATACCCTAAACTCCCCACCTGTAGTTTCCTTTAACTAACCCCTAAACCGTGGTGATTGCGCCCTTGCAGGCAACCCGCGGGGGCACGGGCCTATCAGGCAGGGTGCGTCCTAGCTTCGACAGGTTTGCAGTCATGACCATCAGCCACTCCTGTCTTGCAAACTATCACTATCCTTCCTGTGGTTCTTCCCCAGGGGCAGACACCGAACAGTGGGCGTTGCGGATGTTCGACGCAGCCAGCATCGAATGTGCCATGACGGCACATAGCTGCACATTGTAGAACCATGGTTCCCTAAACCCGAAACCCTACCCTGAACCATGGTCCTGGTTCCCAAAACGTATGTGGACTGTAAAGCCAGGTCCCAGGACCTGCATCCAAGCCACTGTGGAGTACCAGGGCCCTCCTTGTACCCTCACATGGGTAGTTCTCTAAAGTAGCGTCCCTTTTTAGGTCCCCAATGTAGTACGGCACCCTGCACCCTTATAAAGAGGACGCTAAAAAGGATCCGAATTTAGAGAACTAGCCACATAGGGGTATATGGTCCCAAATAGAGGGTATTTAGGGTCTGATAGAGGGAACAATGGAGGGTCCAGATATTTAGTGGAACATGTATTAACCCTCAACCCTAAACCCAAGACTTTAAACCCTAAAACCCTAAACCGGACATCTGGCCGGGGGCGAGAACCCAAAAGTCCTCCCCCCACAGACACAAAAAAACATACCTTCCAAGGTAGCCAAAAGCGGACATAAAAGCCTCGGAACCCCAAAAGTCTATTCCCAAAAGGCAGGGCTCCCCATGCGCTCGAAGCCCTTACCCTATCCCCTAAAACCCCAAACTGGCTAAAACTCTAAACCCTAAGCCTATGACCCTAAACCCTCAAACTTCTAAAGCTGACAACCCTATGACCCTAAACCCCCAAACTTCTAAAGCTTACCACCCTAACTTTTCACCTTCAAAATCTCCCCTAGGCCGGGGCTGTTGGATTGCTGGCGGCAGCTACCTCGAAGTTCAGCTCCGCCTGGAGGCGCTGCTATAGGGGTTACTATCTATAGAGAGAGAGGGAGAGAGAGAGAGATAGATAGATAGATAGATAGATAGATATAGATAGATAGATAGATAGATAGGGTTTAGGGTTTAGGGTTTAGGGAAAAGGGTTTATAATATAAGGCGTACAAGAAGCGTGTTATAAGGGTCCTACAAGGGGCACAAATGGGAGCTGTAAGGGTCGCAAGAGAGTTCTATAACGGAGTTTAGGGTTTAAGGGCTGCAGAGAGTTGAGGATTTTGGGTTGTGTCTCCTGATGTGGCAATTTTCTACGGGTGTGTGGGGATGCACAATGGTCGCTGAGCATTGTCGGTTGTTGCCATTGCTACATTGTGTTCACTGTCGTGTTGCGTTGTTGCCTGTCTTGCGTGGCACCTCAAAAGCTTTAGGCCGGAGGTGAACATGATATGCTTAAGCCGGGCTTGAGCACAAGTGTAAGTGTAGTCAGTTTCGGGCCCAACTTAACCTTGCCTAGGGGTGTAGTGTTATGCATTTTGGGACGCAGCGTTGCTTGTGCAAGTGTATGTAAAGGTTTGTATATGCTTCTCTACTCACATCTGGACTGTGCCCGCTTTACGTCGCCCATGCGTAAAGGATTAGGGGCCTTGGTAAGTAGTATATATAATCCGGAGAATTGCCCCTACATTCGGTCATAGAGCTTATTCTTGGACCCCTCTCCATTACCCTAGGGCGGTCCTCGGGCTCAGCATAGCCCAAAACCTACACAGAACTGTCTTTGGAACAAAGCCTTGCCCTTTCCCTCAAAGGACTCATATTTTAAGGCTTTTGGGCCCAAAGACCCTATTATATAGGGCTTCTGGGCTAGTTTGATGCTAAGGGCTATACCCATAGGCTCCTTAGTAGTTCCTTTTGGGAATACCTTATAGGATTCTAGATATAAACCACAAACAGGAACTACTTCGGAGCCTATGGGTAAGGGTAAGGTATGATCCTAAACCCTAAACCCCAAACCCTGAACCCTTAACCCTATAACATGAGACCTCAGCGCCTTCGGGTTAAGCGCCCGGATCCTTTCGGTGGTAGGATCTCGTCAGCGCGGAGTCCGGCTTGCGATCTTGGCGCAACGTGGCCCGGCAGCCTGGAATAGTTACTAAGGTCTTTGATATGTCGAGTTTTAGAAGCCTGGCCAACTACCAATCGCATGTTTTGTTAGGGCTCCCCATGGCAAAACGCATGCGACTATACATCCAAGCACCCTGTTCTAACTCCACGCCCTGAGCCCAAAGCCCTGGACCCTTTAAGATCCCAAATTCAATGCCTATATGGAACCTAAACCCCGCAGCTTTGAACTCCCCCCCCCCAACCAAAAAAAAATGGATCCAAAATCGCCCCAGCACTCCGAAGCAGTCCCAAACCCCGTACATAGATCTGAAGAGGCCCCAACTGAAGGCCTCTTGTTGGGAGTTAAACAAAAGTACCCGACAACTTCTCCGTTCCTCCTCAAAGTCCCTAAACCCTATTTAAACCCGCGCGTGGAGACCCTTATCCCAAGTTCGTGCGACGCCGTTTGCTCTAAGGCCGAAAACACCCGGCCGACCGAACTCTTTGGGGCTTAAAAGGGTTTAGAGGAGATATGTGCTCAGCGCTTGTAGAGTCTTGGGAAGGCTTCATTTAAGGGTCTTAGGGATTGGGTTTGTAGTGTTAAGGCCTTCAAGTACACAGTTTGGGTACAGAGTTACGGAAGGGTTCTCTGTACCCTTCCGGAGGGCCGTGTTCTTTTGCGATCCATGGTGATCCGTGTTCTTTTGCTGGCCCGCTGGTCATGGCTGGTTTTGCACCCGGCGCATGCGCAGCAATGTGGCCCTTGTGAGGACGTGGAGATGACAGGTGTGAACCTTCTCCAGCGGAGCGCTGCGTCGGCGCGGCCAACCGCCAAGACCGAACAGTGTCTTCGCTTCATGCACATACCCAAGACAGGGGGCACCAGCATCGATGCAGCAAACATCAAGCTCTCAGCGGGACACCATGCTTTTGACTCCATCATGTTGCAAGCTTTCTTGCGTGCTGATCCGGATGAAGTTGATTTGGGTGCAATGTTCGACTGGGCGCACAGCAGCTCAGAGGCATATGATATCTTCTTCGCCACGCATCCGGGCGCCATGCGTGAAATCCCGCCGAATGGCCCCGATGCGTGTGAGGAGGTGCACACCCCACCTTCCCGGAGTGCGGAGATTCGGGAGTTCTTCCTGGATCCGAAATGCACTACCTTCTGTGCCGTGCGGGAGCCCCTAAGCAGATACATGGCAGCCTTTAAAATGTTTCACAGGGATTGCGATGCGCAGTCTTTGGAGAGTCGCACAGTGGAACTCCTCTCTGAGCTCCGTTCGCGCCCATACATGAACAACTGCATGTTCATCACGCAAGCGGAGTATGTGTATGGTACATCTGGCGAGATTGGGGCAACCCAACGATTCTGTCAGCGCATCCTGCATACCGAGAACCTGACAGAAGGCTTTGCTGCATTGATGGCCGAGTTTGGGCGTGACGTGAAGCTACCGGAGACTCATTTTATGGCCGGCTGGACGGACCACTGCAAAATGACGGCTGATGACCTGACCCCCGCAACAAGAGCTGCTCTTTACGAGCACTTCAAGGTGGACTATGATGCTTTTGGTTACTCAAAGCCAGATTTCTGAATTCTGAGTTCCGCCATTTTTGCAAAACAGGCTGCTAAGCCAGCCAAGCTCATGCTCAGAGTACTTTTTTAAAGGTGTAAGACTGGGGCTCAGGCCCAGGCTTTGTAGGCTTTTCCCTTGTGAACCCAGGCCCAGCAGGCTTCCGGAGGGGCCTGGGGGGTTTAGGGTTTAGGGTATCAGGGTTTAGAGTTTCGGGTTTAGGGTTTGGGTTTGGGGGTAATGGGCTATAGAATCTCTAAGCAGTAAGCTCAATCCCTGTCACGGTGAGAGATGCCCTGTTTTGGGGCCAAGAACGAAAGTTCCTCGGCTTCAGACATTGCGAGAGAACTGTCCCTGCCTCGGTAGAAAGAGGCCTCTTTCTTGCTCCGTCTGTTGTCAGCTCTGTCCTTGCATAGTACCCTGTAGTACGATCATGTAAGACCAGGCACGAAAACCGCAGCCCCGTCGGTTGCCCCAGGCTCTCGAACCTTCCATCTTCTCACAGAGTCCTAATGATAAAGATGGTAATAATAATAATAATGATAATAATAATAATAATATTAAGAAGAAAGTAAGCACCATGAGTTCAGTGCGAAGCTGGAGACGCTAAGTAAACTCTTACACGCCCAGCAGCCCAAATCCGAACCTCTAAGCCCATCAATGCTATGGCAGGAGCCTTCGAAACTCAAAAAAGCTTCCAACCAGAGCTTTGGGCAGCGGTTGCCACCAAAACCCCATACCCTTAGCCCCTCAAACAAGAAGAACGATGCCTGAAATTCCGATGCTTCAACCCTAAAAGCATTAGACGTTAAGCACTAACAGCAGGTCGAAGAGGGCCCGCAGAGAGAAGATAAGCACTAAACCGGTAAATCCCGAAAGCTGCCCCAAACCTTATTTACAAGGTAGGTTGTTAAAGGAAACTACAGGCGGGGAGTTTAGGGTATATAGGGCTGCTAGAAGGCTTCTATAACGGTAACTACCCACCTGAAAATGTCCTAAAGGTTGTTGCAATCCCCTAGGCCAGTGCCCTTCAACGAGCACTTGCGAAAGGACTCGCCAAGGCCTCCGCCAGTCAAGACGTTTGATGGGGGCTTAAGGTTCGAAAGGTTGGGATGTATGATTTTAGGGTTTTAGGGTTTAGGGTTTAGGATTTAGTGCATTGCAGTCCCTGCTCAAAAAAAAGGGTTTAGGGTTTAGGGTTTTGGGTAGTGTGGGAGATGGGGTTCCAATGTTTGCGGCTTGGGGTCGGGTTTTCTTTGCCGCAGAGACTGTGATCTTAGACCATCTCGGGCAGGGCAATCCCGGACAGCAGCCATGTTTCAGTGCAGCACCCACCTTGCAGACACAGTCCTCAACATTTGTGGAGGGCTGAGTTCAAGAAGTCTGGAAGTGTATGGGGGTTGTAGGGTTTAGGCTACGGAAATGCGTATTGGAGAGAAAGAGAAAGCTAAGAGAGAGCGAGACAGTAGAGGTACTGGATTGATTGGTTTCGGTTCTTGAGGAAGCTTGCCACTCCTTCGAAGACGGGAGTACCATTGTAGCCTGACAGAGATGCGTTTGAATTTCTGGGAATGGCAACAAACACCCACAACCGAGCAGGCAACGGAGCATATAATTAGATCCCCAAACCCCAGAACTCGCTGAGCTCCGCTTCTGAAATCAAGACGGTAGGACTTTCAGCTGAGCTCCCTGCCGCAAGTCTTGCAGAACAATGTTTGCGTGCCAGCCGGATGTTCCCGGAGCCTTGCCATCTTATTCGCGACCTAGTTTTGTGATCGCAAGCTCTATGTGGTTCAGCGTCAATTAATCCTGACACCCTAAAGTCCTAAACCCTAAGCCCCATAAGCCCTAAACCCTAAACCTACAAACCCCACCCCATAAACCCCAACCCCCAAACCCCATAAACCCCCACCCCCAAACCCCATAAACCCCAACCCCCAAACCCCATAAACCCTAAGCCTCAAACCCCATAGACCGAATAAGCCGAAACTTCTGATGGCGCAAAGGATGGAGTCCTTGTTGGTACGACTTCTGACTTCGGTCCCGGGCTCCGGGTACACGTCATTCTTAATCTACAGTCAGCGAGATCTGCGCCTAGTACCTTATGGATTTAGGGTTGTAGGGTTTTTGGGTATTTACGGAAGCACGAGCAGATCTGATCAACTACCCGAATCTTCGTGATAACAATGCAAACCTAGGACCTTGCAACCCGGGAGTCTGTTTTCGCTGTACATGTTCGGGGTTCCGTGTTTACGGGTGGGTGGATCCGCAACGCAGATCAACTGTCAGCTTGGCCGGGCTTTTTTTGAGCCTGCCATGAGGGTTGAGGTTTTGAGGGGTCTTGCATTGCGAGGCAAGACATAGCGGACAGCGTGCTGCAACTCTTTTATGCTCCCTGGCCTCAAGCATGGAATGGCTCTTCTTGTCAACGTCCCATAAAGTCAGAGACCCGGAAACCGGGTCTCATCATAATCATATCTTCAGAGACAGGCCATGGTTTCTCTTGGATGTAGGATGATGTGCTCCATGTGCGAAGTTCTTTGTCGGTGCCGAAGCCTCCTGTAATCCCCCAAAACACATCGCGAAACACTAGAATTAGGATCCTGGAGCCCTGTGAACCTTAATGTCTGGACCTTCAACCCTAAACCTTAGAATCGAGAAGTATTCCGAGACCTTACACAGTCCCTAAGCCTCAAGAACCCTCAACCGTAGACGCCTTACACCGGCCCGAAACCCTAAACCTCTACCCTCAATCCAAGGAGGCAGTGCTGTTTCGTCACTGGTCTGCCACCACAGCAGTCCGCCGAAGCAGGCCGCTTCCTTCTCGAAGCCGCCGTCTTTTAGGGCGTAGTACAGGGTTTTGCGCTTACAAAGGGGTTGACGATTAGGCACGGGACTCCTTCCTGGGCGTGAACGAGCGGTGATCACAAAGGGTTCGGGGTTTAGGGTTTTGGCGGCGCGGTTACTACGAGGCCTTCTTGCCTGCAAGCCTGCAGCAAAAGGGTTTTGGGGGGTTACGCCCATAAAGGTCAGATGTACAGAAGGGGTTTTAGGGTTAAGGCAGTTGCCCGTGTCAAGGGATGTCCATGTCTCAGAACGTACTTCGTGCACGAAGGCCGCATGTCAATTGGCGTTCCTGGCAGAGTGTCGAGGCAAGAGGTGCATACTACGGTTAATGGTATAAATCCTGCATTACCCACAATAAGGAATATACCATAATTCCCATAGTTTAGGGTCCTTAAGGCAGTGCCGGATTTATATCATCAACAGTAGCAGGCGTCGGGGTGCAGTCCAGGCATGCGGCACCCAGCATGTTCTCGTCAGTTTGGTGGTCGGCATATCCTGACCGGATCTGTGAGAAAGACTGGAGGAGTTTGCTGCTGAATGTCGGCCCCTTCGTGAGTATCCACGAGATGGGACATTGGCAGGACTGTGCCAAGTTGCAGGTTGGGTCCTTTGTTAACTAACAGTTGGATAAGATTTATGTGTGTATCTATCTATCTGTCTATCTATCTATATACAAATATATATATACATATATATATACATATATGCGCATATTTTTTTGTTTATGAGGCCCGGAATAGTACCTTACTGTATGGGGGCCCCAAGTTGGCTATACGGCAGGCAAACATGGGCACAGGTACTCTTAGGCCCAAACTAAGGTACCTAGACCCCGACTTGCAGCTACCCACGAACCTCAGAGTCGATCCTGTAGAACGGTTTAGGGCGTAGGGTTTGGGGGTTCAGAGCTTAGGGGTTTAGGGAGTTTAGAGCAGAGCCTACGACACCTTATAGCTTAGAAATCGACATCCTTATTGGTCCTTGATTCAGATTCATAGCCATGAGCCCTCAGTTGGCATGTTCAAAGTACCCCATACACAGGGTCCTGACTATAGGCCCGTCCTTGTTTGCAACGAGGGGTTCCCAAAGTTTCACAAAGCCGCAATCAACATCAAACCTGATTAAACTGTGTCACAGACGCTTAAAATCATGTTTCAAAATTCTGATAAACCCCAAATTCTGATCAACCCAAGACGAGAGAGAACAAAAAACCCAAAAAACCGTAGAACCCTCATGGCGGATGGTGCGAGGATCTCCAGTTGAACTTCGCCATCCTCGGAAGCTTTTCTGTCTATCAGGGGCACAAGTTCATGAGGGCTTGGGGCTGCGGGTTCAGGGTGTCGGGCTGAGGGTTCAGGGTTTCGGGTACCTCTCCCACTCCCCCTCCCACTCCCCCTCCCCCTCCCCCTCCCTCTCCCCCTCCCCCTCCCGCTTCTTTCTTTCTTTCTTTCTCTCTCTCTCTCTCTCTCTCTCTCTCTCTCTCGAGGTACATGTAGTAGACATCTAACCGAGGTCTGCGGGTGCGTCTTTAGCACGCTTAGCTATAGTTGTTTTATGAAATTAAAGTAAATATAAAAGTTTAGCATGTGTACTTATATTTGTTTGTGGTTATACATATATATATATGTATGTATTATATTACGTTAGGTTAGATAGACAGGTAGATAGAAAGATAGTAGATAGATAGATAGATAGATAGATAGATAGATAGATATATTGATATATTGATGGACCTTTCTGCCTCTTGATAACCCTGATGACGATATGACGATGTCGTTGTTGCTGGTGACGATTATAGAGTTGATGTTGTTGCTGTGGTGGTGATGATGGCAATGATGGTGATGCTCGTGCCTGTTATGGCTTATGATGCCCGTGATGATGATTGGAGATTTCATGATGATGGGGCGCCTATGGTGGCCACAATGACCATGACCGAAATTCTCATCGCTACCACGAAGATGAACACCATCATCATGACTACCCCCTTCTCCCCCCCCGGCATCGTTGATGGGAGATGATCTAGGCGTGGACCACTGTGGGACGACTTCGCTGCATCGGCACCTTAGCGAGCATCCATCAATCGTGCCTTTTGGTCGCAGGAGAGCTTTGATGGGGCGGTGGATTGCTTCCCTTACAGTGTAATTGGCTGTTGGCCAAGGGCTGAGCATCTGCGACCGTGCGGGATTGTGCGAGAAAAGTGAGACGGAAGAGCAAGTTCCGTGTGCATATTAAGATCGATGAGCTTCGCAGGTTTGAGCCGCAAGGCCAGCTGCACATTCGCGGCTGATATCATTGCAGTAGAAGTCAACGCAAGCCTACAGCTCTGGGCAAACGCGGTTTGAGAAGTGCCAGGTTCTCAGAAGAGGGTGAGGACTGGTTCTTCTGGAACAAGGCGAGGCGGCTTCTCCCGTGCCTTGCAGGCATGGATTTCTTCCAAGCGTGGAGCTTATTCTGCAGTTGTTTTTTTTTTGGGGGTGGTTAATTTGCCTTCGGCCCAAAAAATACCTAGCTTTTGCAGATTCCGTATCATGTTTGCTACATCTCACGCCTTAGCGGCTTTTGGGGTGGTTTGGGGAGCTTCAAGGAGGCCCTAAGCCCTCGGCTTCCACGGAACGCCGAAAGTGCAACCCAGGGGTGTGGGGTTTGGGGTTCCCAAAGATGCCTTAAACAGATCATAGGCCTCGGAGTCATTTCCGAAGCTCCTAGTACATACGGTTGATGGTATAAATCCTGCATTACCCATAATAAGGAATAGACCATAATTCCCACAGTTTAGGGTCCTTAAGGTAGTGCAGGATTCATATCATCAACCGTATCATACATATCCGAATATACCACTTGCAGTAGCTAGACTTAGACATCTGAAGCTCTTTGGGCTTTGTCGCCCGACTCCAGATTGCAGCCAGCCTTTGGTAGCTGCACGACGCATGGGCTCCAATAGTTGCTTGTCTTCTTTGTTCAAGCACTACGTCAGCGCAGCAAAGTACTTCTCACAACCACACTCTCAATATGCGCAATTGCGTTGGGCACCCCATCACAAAGATGGTCAATTCCCCAATTACGTACCGATACTATTTTGCGGGTTGATGATTATGATGATAGAATAGTATAGTAGGCTCAGAAACCAAGAAGGCTGCATAAAGCTAGACGGGCTGAGGGCAAAGTTCCCCAGGGCCCGAAACAAAAAGCAAATATGAGTCGTGAGCCGTGGAAAGAGCCTTCCTAGACACCCAGCGGGTAACAAGTTGCAGATTCTCGCGGGACTCAGACAGAAAAGGGTCGTTCAACAACAACTCCATAAACCCTTTAGCCCTAAACCCCCATGTGAATCCTACAAGTCCCCTAAACCCTGAACACTGAACCCTAAACCCTAACCGTCCTTTCGCCCTGTCCTTCTCCAAGGCATCGCTCGTGGATCTCCGAGTTTGAGAGTCGAATGGCCGTGGCCGCTGCCGCCAAGAGGACTTCCACGAGCCTCCCGTTTTAGCGGTTTTGGGGTGTAGGGGCTTAAGGGCTTGGGAGTTTAGGGTTTGGGGGTTGGGGGTTTAGGTATGTTTAGGGTTTAGGGGTTTAGGGCTTGGGAATTTAGAGTTTCGTAAGGCTTCACGAATTCCAACCTCTTTAAGGTTCAGAGATTGAGAGTTTCGGGGTATCAGGCCGCTAAGGGGTTTAGGATTTCAGCATGGTTTCTGTGGGTTTCGGATGAACTGGAAAGAATACAGGTCGGGGTTACGCTTCAACGCATAAGAAGCTGTGCTTCAGATCTGTACGACTACACAGATCCTTGCACATCCTTGTTCTCTGTTTATAGTTCTGTGTAGTCACGTCGTGCATCATGATGAGGATGTAGAGTAGAGCGTGTTGGTGCGACATATAGAAGCCCGGCCGTGCATGGGAGTGGTCAACTTGTTTTCCTTGTCTTCTTCAAAGGAAGACTTAGCTGCAGCTTCGGAAAGCTACTCATGGCCACCTTGCAAGTTTTCTAAGGACCTTTCTACTTTGGAAGCCTGCGTGCATGGGGAATCTAGCTCTCTGTAGTCCCTAAATCGACATATCCGTGGCGAGAAGCGGCCTCGAGCTTCCATCTTTTTGGGATGTTGAGCTGCGCATGGCAGGACCTTGACAGGATCTTCGCCCAGCTACTGGTCTGCTCAAGACAAGTGGAGCTGCGCATTGTGCTACGTCTTTTACGTCCACCTTTGTGGGCTCGTAGAGATTGACAGAATAGTAGGCCCAGCAAGAACACACCACCGGGACCTTGGGGGAGGCCGGGCAAGGCATGCCCCAAAGTAGTAATGCTGCATGCTGTGGCAAGCAGCATGGGCCATCTCGCCCTGGAATCTCTGTGTCTGTATCCTCCAGACTCGGCGCATAATTTAATGACGCTAAGCTCGAAACGTTCCAATTTTAGCCGCATCCCAGGAATTCGTGGAGTTGTTAATCCACGCTTCTTCTTCAACGCGCTTCTGCGCAAAGCCCTCTCCCTCATTCCACACCTGAAGGCCAGGAGGTCGTGATTTAGGCATTTAAAAGCCTTCAGGGTTTCATCGCGACAGCACCTCCAAAGCCTATCCACTGAGATCAGTTGTTTGTTTCAAGGCGTTTGGGCATTTGGAGCACCTTCTTAGAGGTTTATGGTATGCGCTGAGTCGGTTTAATTGGGGTTTATGCATCTTCTGCCGGACAGACTCACATGGTGGGAGAGATCCCATAGTCATCCATAGTAATAATGTAGCCATGAAAATAGAGCCTAAAAAAGTCCCAAAGAATTAAATGCCCCAAGACTATCCCGCAGGGTCCCTGATAGTTTTTTATTCTAGGCCGTTTCCCTGCAGGGTGACCTAATCAGAGAAGCGGGTGAGAAAAACATACTATGTTCCCAAAGCCCCAATTTAATTGTTACTTCACCCCATACTAGACCTTGTCCGAGTCCTTTACTAGAACCGGTGTAGATTGATATTCTGATCATAGAAGCCCCGAAACTAAAATCGTATAGAAACCTTGTCGTAAACCTTTAACGGAACCCTGTAAGAAACCCTTAAAAGGGAACTATTGAGGCCCGAAGCTCTTGTGACCAGGTCCTGGTCGTCGTTTGCGACCCACTGGGCCGACTGGAGCGGCGCTACGCCGACTTCTCCGCCTGTGCTACGCGAGGGAGACGCGAGGGGTTTGGGCTGTGACAGGACGTCAGCTTCAGAAGTTTCAGGTAGAAGCCGGAATAATAAGTGAACATATTTTCCTGAGGGTTCCTTATTCTATTTACACGAAAGTTACTATAGGAGACGCCCAGATACCCTATTCTAGTTCACTATATTTGAGGCTTGAGGGTTCATTGTTGGGGGTTTTAGTTGCCGTCAGGCTTGAGCCCTGATACTTTACAAGCAACCTTCCGGAGCCAGATGTAGGAAGGGTTTGGTCTTTGGGCTTGGGGTTTTCGAGGTGTAGGTTTGAGTAATGTTGAGTGTAGAGAGTCGGGGGGGGCCGAGGAATGCACGGTTTGTGAACTTGCTTGTACTGGTAACTGCGCATGTGCTGAATCCATCGCGCAGCATCCGCAGCTCGGGACTGTGAGCTGTGAATCATCAGGGACTTGTTCAAGTGGCTGATGGTTTTTATGCGATTTGAAAGTCTTGGGTTCTTGTGCGTTTGCGATGTACGTTCCAAAAAACTCTTATAAACTCTAAACCCTGAACCCCTAAACCCATGCCGTAGCCATTTTGGCTCAAGACCGACCGCCAGCTGGTCTTGCCCTGGGCCGCGCATTCAGGCCTACTCAGGCCGTTCCCCGTCTTGTCGTCTTCCCGTCGTGGGGGTCTCCTTGTAATTACCTCTTGTCCGCCCCCCGCGTCGTCGTCGGTCGTGGCGAGGCAGGATGACCACGTCGCCCAATCAGGACGAGATCGAAACCGTGATTTTGCCCTCTGGGGGTCTAGGGGGGGCGATGGAGGTTGAAGATGGTGGGGGACGGGCTGAGGAGGGGGGGTTCCATAGTCCTGTGTCCACGGGGCGCCTGCAAGGGGGGGGCGAGGAGGATGAGATGAGGGAGGCAGCCCAGGCTGCTCTTGCGGCTGCACTGGAGGGGTCGGGGGGTGGGGACGGAGGGGCCGTTGGGGGGGGCGACCG